ACCGAGCACAGCTGGATATGACCGCAGAGGTCCAACCCTGAACAGTGGGGACAAAAATGGACACAATATTCAAGCTTGATACAGGTCTGAATTGGGATTGTAATTAGATATTTGACACATTATAGGTTTCTGACACAGAATAAATGTAGTCAAAGAACTTGAAATGGTTATATGATTTGAATTTATATTCAATTGAAGATTTCTTGCTGTTGTGCAATACACTGTGCTGTTGCGCAATACTTAGTAAATCTGTTTTCAGACTATATACAAAGAATTAGCAAAATAAATTGTGACTCCCAATTTTTTTTGTTGAAAATTTATAATTTCTTAAATCTTGAGGAAAAAAAATTGACCCAACCCCCAAAAAAATTATTTTTTTACCCCCTCCAAAAAAAAAAATATTTGAAAATGTTATTGTCTGAAAACTAGCAAAATGCTTGTTTTGGCCCCTGATTCCTGAATGATTTGGGCAATTATCCCCAAAATGAATCCAAACCTTCTACTTGTGGTATTGAATCTTGTGCTACAATTTCAGAGCAATCAAAATACTTATACATGTTATACACAAGTTATTGTACTGAAACTAGAAAAATGCTTGTTTTGGGCCTGAATTCCTAAACGGTTGGGACCATCACCCCCAAAAACAATCTCAACCTTCTTTTTGTGGTATTGAACTTTTTGGTTAAATTTCATAGAGATCCATACACTTAAACTAAAATTATTGTCCGGAAACCAAATGTCTTCGGACGACAACACAAATTTTTTGCGGTCGTATAAAAACACCACTGCCAGATTATAATTCCTATGTTTCGCCTGTTTACCCTCTATCTTCTTATGTACTTCTGTTGAAAGAAAAGATATAAATGAAAAGGTAGGATTTGGGGTCAAATGGCTTGAAAATCAATGGTATTTCAAGTATCTTCAATTTGCAGAAATAAATGTTTGAACATCTGCACTTTTATAAAACATTGTAGTGTTTGGTTTAAAATATTTCTTTTTCATGAGTTACACACCTATACCGTAATCGGGCTTGTATAGTTCGCACTGGTACATAGTCCGCACCCCCTTCTCCCCACGAAATTTCAGGTAAAAAAACTTTATGTAACTGTTAGAAAAGGTCTAATGAAACTCCGGTAATTTCAAATCGTGTGTGGTTGTTTGCGGCATTTTCTTGGAAAAACCTGTTTTCCATCATCAAACAGAAGCTGAAACTGCTTGTAAATGATTTTAGAACACTTCACGATTGTTAAAATAAGTTTAAAAACTTCTGTATGTTTAAACATGTTAAACCGGATGTTTGAAAAGCACGTGTAAAAGAAGAAAACAAACGGTGAGAGTCGAAATCCGTACACAATAGATATCACTATAATACGACTTTGAAAGTAAAACAGTTCCATCCTTATGTAAAACAGTGTTTAATATATCTATTATATTAATGTTTGAAGGGTCTTAAGCTAATACAAAACATATTTGTCAGTATGAAACACTAAAACAGAACGAATAATACCCGATTACGTTTTGTAATTTACACATCGTAAGCTGGTTTACGGTTGTCTTTTTAATTTTTTTTGTACCGTTTCATTCGAATTATAGTCATTTCGTACCCTAACCATTTCGTACCCCCCATTTCAACCCTGGCAAAAACCATTTCGTACCCTGACCATTTTGTACCTTGACCATTTCATACCTCATGGAATATTTAGATGTATACCATTTCGTACCTCATGGAATATTTACATGTATACCATTTCTTACCTCATGGAATATTTACATGTATACCATTTCTTACCTCATGGAATATTTACATGTATACCATTTCGTACCTCATGGAATATTTACATGTATACCATTTCGTACCTCATGGTAGATTTTTATGTATATCATTCCGTACCTCATGGATGATTATTAGTGTTTCATTTCTTGGTACAAACTGTCTCATTGATGTGCGCCATTTCGTACCTTATGGAAGATTTATATGTATACCATTTTATACCTCGTGGAAGATTTGTATGTATACCATTTGGTACCTCATGTAAGGTTTGTATGTATGCCATTTGGTACCTCATGGAAGGTTTGTATGTATGCCATTTCGTACATCGCGGAGGATTTATGTGTTTTATTTCTTGGTTAAAACAGTCTCATTGACCTTTTAATGTAAGGAGGTAGAGGTCATGAGAAATGTCTAAAATTTAGAAATAAAGCACCTATGAGATATTGTACAAATAGGAATAAAGTCAATAAACAATTTTTTTTTAAATCTGTAAAACTTTGTATTTAAGATATTTATTTAAAATATTAGCTGGCACTTTAGTAACAGTTCACTTTTCTGCCGATAACACTGATTTGTTACTTTTGTATACATTTGTAACTAAAGACACATGCCGTACTGGCGTATTGTTTTAAAAAGGTAGCATTCTATTTAATTGGATTAAAAATGTTTATTGAATATACGTGCCATTTGAAATTGTGACGCGTGCCTAAATATTGATATATATTCAATTGATTATTGTAAAGTGTAGTTGAACCTAAATGTATATATCATATGCATGTTTTTTTTTAAATAATACTTTTAGAAAATATGCAATACACACGAAAAAAAAGATATTTACCAAACTTTTTTTGAATTTAGAAGGAAAGATAAATGCATTTCCTGACGAAAACAACGGGTAATAACTATTAAAACAGTTGCAGATAATTATTCATTTGTTGGTTAATTAACCTCATATTTTTAGAGTTGAAAAATTAATTAAGGATAAATCCTGCAAACAAACAAAGTGTGCTCCTTAGTCAAACCAATAATCGGTCTTTATAAAATTTCTACGGCTGGATGCATTTTATTTATGTTATTTAAAAAAAAATTAAAATCATCTCAAAATGTTTTATATCTTAAAAAAATTATAACTTTTACAAAAATTTTGGGTACAAAATGGCAGAGGTACGAAATGGTCAAGGTACGAAATAACTTGCTCATGGAATATTTCGTACCGCACGGAAGATTTATATGAACAACTGTTAATAACTACAAAAACAGTTGCAGATAATTATTCCTTCGTTGGTTAAATAACCTCATATTTTTAGAGTTGAAAAATCAATTAAGGATAAAACGTGCAAACAAACAAAGTGTAATTAAAACTATTAAAATTTCTAAGTGCAGCTTGATAAAACCAAATTAAAATTTCTATGGCTGGATGCATTTTATTTATGTCATATTTAAAAAAAATTGAAATCATCACAAAATGTTTTATATCTTTAAAAAAAACCATTTTTTATATCTTAAAAAAATTATAACTTTTACAAATATTTTGGGTACAAAATGGCAGAGGTACAAAATGGTCAAGGTACGAAATATGATTTTTTTTAATTTATCTTGAATGGACCAGTATGCATTAAATATAAAACATTTTAAATACTAATAATTAGGCTGTATGAGGGATCTCTCCTTTTTTGAATTATAAATTTGTGTTATCCAAATCTCCAATTCCGATTTTGGTACAAAATTCAACGATTTACAAATATTATATGATACGAAATGGTAAACATGTATTTAGTCCATGAGGTACGAAATGGTATATGCATTTGGCTCATAGGGTACAAAATGGTTTTTATCATGGGTACGAAATGGTAAATGTTGGGTACGAAATGGTAACTTTGGGTACGAAATGGCAGAGGTACGAAATGGTCAAGGTACCAAATGACTTGCTACCTTTCATTCAAGCAGATACCAGTTTATTTTAAGCAATGCATTAAAAGAAACGAAAAATTAGTAATGAAGCGTTTAATATTTAAATTTATCAGTATTAATATGATATTGAATAAAAATAACTTATTAATATGGATTAGGTAAAATTATTAGTTTGAAAAATGATAAGAGCACTCTCTACAATATCAATAACAAACATGGCGGAACGTAAACAAACCACCTTGCGAAATTGAATTTTTTCTCTTATTATTTCTTGCTTATTGTACTTTATAGTCCGCACCCCTGTCTGGCAGGTTCAATTTGGAAAATAAAACCGCGGACTATACAAGCCTTTTAACGGTAAAATAGGAACAATAAATTCGGTGAAATGGTGAAATTACCCAAACTCTTGACTCCTTCATATAACAAAACTCTCACCCCAAATATATTCAAACACTGAATTTCAAAGGATGTGTATTTTGTGTTTACCATCTATTTGCAATTGAAAATGATTTAGTAATTTAACCTTACTTAACTTTTATATGCCAAAAGAATGAAAACAACATTGTAAATTTCATATGTCCGAAGGGCTTTTCTGGATTTACCTTTATCAGGAACGCTAAAACGCCAAACATTTGAAAGCCAAGGTTGTATAAGAACCAAAACAGTTCAAGAGCAGTACCTAAATAAATAGCCTTATCCATCTAAGGTCAACTTTGCCTAAAGGAGTTGAAACCTTAGTTTCCTAATAATCTATAAAATTTATAAACAGATACTTTAAGAATGGTTTGTTATAAATCATACTTTAAGAATGGTTTGTTATAAATCATGTAAGTACCTAAGTACAGACTACTGTGCTTATGTTCTTTCAGAGGGAAAGAGTTTGAAAAGTTAATTGCAGGTCATGTTCTCCAAGGAGATCAGTTTGGCAAAATATTCTGACATGTAATAGGTACAAAAAGCTTTCAGGAGGATATTCTTTATTGAAAGTCTTTATAACAGGGAATATAGGCAAACATGTATACCTAATGGAAAAAACTTACAATGCAGCATGGAGGTATGACAACTTTCTCATGAACTCATATACTGTGAATTCGTTATCATTCTTAGGATACCATTTTTTGTCTATTTCGCTTGTATGCAGACCTCGGCAAAACCAGGAAATCTTATATCAAAGAAAAAACATTTTTTCCTCAATCTATGAAAATTGGTACCCACAAGAATAAATGAATCCAAAGTATTATTATATTGTTCAATGTACATTTCTTTTATAAGTTTCTACATAACGAACATTATTCATAGTTAAGATATTGATACATACATCTAGTTTTAGACCAACTGAAACAACATCAAATATTCTCTTTGACAGATCTGTACACATCTCAAATAATTTCTGCATAGATGGTTTAAAGTTAGGAACTTTTTCAGAAGGCCATTCCTAAAACATAAATTTTCAAAAAATTCTGTTAATATAATCAATTAATACATAAGTGATTTAGCTTAACAGATGAAACTTTTTTTCAGAAGATATTATGTATCCCTATATTTACATTACATTTCAATTTTCATCAAAATAATCAGCTCAGCCTTTCTGATAAAAATCAATGCTATAAATTAAAATATTTTATCGATGTTTTTTTATTAGTGCAAAAATTGCGGCAGGATAGGTTTTTCAAAATTAAAACTGGTATTTCAAATTTAGATATCATTATTTGATTAAAGCATTACCTGAAATCACAATATTATAAATCTAACAATTTTGTCCATTGTTTGACAGTTGCAGTAACAAATGCATGCAAAAATTTCTGAATTTACAGTATCTAATTTCCCAAATAATGAAAGTACAAAACATTAGAGTGCTAACAAAACAATTACCTCCCCTTCACCACCCTATTTATTTGAATGTGCTTGTCCAAAGTCAAGAACCTCTTCAGCAAATGCCTCATATTATATCTTAATTTTATCCATTTAATAAATTTGGCTTTGTTGAATTAATTTTCATACAAGATTGGTCTTAGCAAACAATTCCGTTTGCTTTATAATACCTCAGCACTTAATAATGTTAGCTTGTATCAATTTATCATGCTTCTTAAAATGACTGGGTTGGCATGCTAGCAAACATGTTTAACCCCGCCCAATTCTCTATGTGCTTGTCCCAAGTCAGGAGCCTGTGATTAAGTGGTTGTCGTTTGTTTCTGTAGATCATATATTTGTTTTTCTTTTATTGTTAGAAAAGATTAGAAAATTTATTTTGATTCGGCATAAGTCAAATATACAACACAAGCTCTAAGGAGCTTTTGACCGAATATAAAAACATATACATAACATAAAAACAGTCTTAAGATATAAACAACATGTAATACAAAGTTGAATCTCACACATAGCATGCAATAACAAGAATGTGTCCATAGTACACGGATGCCCCACTCGCACTATCATTTTTCTATGTTCAGTGGACCAAGAAATTGGGGTCAAAACTCTAATTTGGCATTAAAATTAGAAAGATCATATCATAACAAACAGGTGTACTAAGTTTCAAATTGATTGGACTTCAACTTCATCAAAAACTACCTTGACCAAAAACTTACCTGAAGTGACCAAAAACTTTAACCTGAAGTGGGACAGACGGACGAATGAACGAACAGACGGAGGAACAGACGCACAGACCAAAAAACATAATGCCCCTAGGTGGGGCATAAAAATTTAGCAGCAAATTTAAAATGAAGTAAAGCATGGTTTACCTATTTAAAAGTTTAAAATTTAGATTAAAAATATGGTAACTATTTAGATTACTATTATAAAAATCAAATAAAAAAGTTTGGAACTATAGTATATGCTTTGAGATCTAGAAATTTCAAAGAACAAAATATTTTCAACATGCATTGATTACCCAATTTCTTGAAATATGTGTCAAAAACTAAAATTTAAATATTTAAAAATTTGTGAAGAAATACATCAATACTAGTCCAAAGCAACAAAAAACAACATAAATAATAAATAATAAATAATAAACAGCTCAAGAGTTATCTGCAAGCAGAAAAGCGACATTCCAAACCGTTCCTGGACTGAATAAGACTTTTAAAATGTAAAATATAAGCTTCATTAAAATAGGGAGTCAAAAATTTTATCAATATCTTAACAAAGTACAGTACGAAACCTAGTGAAACCTGAGAAGTTTCTGTTCACATGAGAAAGTATTTTTTACCTTTCTCTTAACCATATTTAGAAATTTTCATTAACTTTATGATTCTTGTATCAAAAAAAAGATATCAACAGAGAAGAGCATTTTGAAAGTAAATCTATCATACTAATAGATGGTCCTCTGGGGTCATATTCCAAGCCTCTTTATAGTCTCCCACGGGTCTCTCTGGGTTTAATCTACAATTCAAATCATACTGTCACAATATAATAATGCATTATCACTAAATATAGGTTGATAGGTCAAATATAATAACTTAAGAAGAAGAAGGTTTATTCCTATGTAACAATAAAATTTATTATTTAAAAGAACAGAGTTCCAATATCCTCTGCGTTGCACATATTTTAATGTATCCCAGGTACAAGGGTAATAACTAAAAAAAAAAAACTCTTTTTGTTCTTTAAAACTTTTTATAAACATCTAAGAGAAATGAAAGCCTCAGAACAAATGTAATACGATTTCCGTTATAATTAATATATTCAAGGGGCATAACTCGTTTAAAACATTTGATCAGCACTTATTATTGAAAGTGACAAAGACATATTGCTGATATAAACCTATGATATAAATTTCATAAAATTCTGGCAAGAATTGCACACATGAGAGCACTAACAATGCAATTTTCCATATAATCAATATTTCCAAGGGGCATAACTCTTTTAAAAATAATTGATCAGCACTAATTTTCGAATTTTGGCCGAGACATTCATGATATAAACCTATATTATAAATTTCATAAAAATCTGGCAAGAATTGTACAAATGAGAGCGCTAACAATGCAATTTTCCATATAATTAAGGTTTCCAAGGGGCATAACTCTTTTAAAAATAATTGAATGTAACCTACTTGCTTAAAATTTCTCTTGTTTCACTTGCTTCTAAGTCTCCTCAAGTATTCTAGGATTTATACTTGGATTTCAACTTATTTGGCTTTGAGTATTCCTGATGAATGTATATTTAGAAAAGCTCTTCTGAAGCATGAAATTCAAACATATTTTTTTATTTTCCTTTTCAGCGTTTCCTCCGATTGTTGGATGTCTTTGTTGGTATTATTGCATTTTGGGTTGCTCTTGTCTTTAATATATATATCTTATCTAATTCATATTGAAAAACAAACATTTATGGTCCTTGCAAAAGTGAAAATACATAATCATTTGTCCCTAATTTCTTTTTATAAGACCATAACTAGTCCAGCTGTTTTCAGACATCTTCATCTTTACAACACTTATTTATTAAAGAACTTTACTTGTTAAAACTTTGAACTATTCAAAAACTTAAACAACAGTTGTCTAGAAATAATTCTTGTAAATAAAATTAGAGATGAAAGAGAGAGATTACAACTGGGCAACAAAAGAGCAAAAAAGAGGAAAACAGAAATGAGTGCTGGCAACTTGTCTTTGCCATCTGTGCCAAGAGGCAAACCAAGGACTTAAGTATATGCAGTAAGTAAGTAAATAAGGTATATAGTTATTTTACTTTTCAACTTCTAGTCCAACCCAACCAAAATTATAGTTATGTGATCTTGCAAACTTTTCCTTTTCTTTCACAGGCTGCAAAAAGAAGTCTTTTGATGAGCTGAATGCTTCATTTATCTGAAGAAAAAAACCATAAAAGAACATAGTCATGCATGCAAGTTTCACAGAAAACATTTCAAATTTTTAGCCAAGTTGAAAAAAAAACACATCACTTAAATGTTTTCCACAACTAATGTACTGAACAAATAGCATTTTTGTCAAATATTTTCCAAACATTCAGTTATATATAATAAAAAAATATAAAGTGCAATACCCGTGGGTGTCCAACATCAACTGAATAAAGGAAAGTTCAAAATTAAAAATCCCTAGAATTTGCAAAATAGCTCCCCAATTGTCAATTATGAAAATAAAATTAAAAAAAAAAAAAACAAATAAAGTGGGGGATAGCATCATTTCATATCAGCTAGGTTGAGTATTTTGTGTATTAAGCATTATTTGACACAGTACCTGATGTAGATTATTTAAGTGTATTGACATAGATATTGTGTCATTTCTTTTATACAGGTTACAAAAAATATATACTATATGTATATAGGAAATATCATAAACATAGAAATATTAATGATATAAACAAAGTATGTCAATGAAGAATAAAATATAAACCTGTTTTTTAAATGACAATTACTGTGGATTCAATATTATTTGTTGGATACCAATTTTTGTGGATTTCAGGGGTACAGGTGAATCACAAATTTAAATGTTCAACCAGAACAAACTTTCTATTGGCTTGAATGCAGACTTTTTTAAAACCACAAAATCATATACCCATGTAATGCAATTTTTCCTTAATCCAGGAAAAAAAGGTACCCCCGAAAATTATTAATCTACAGTATTACTTTTTGTGGGATGCTGCTGTTTATCTCCTCTCCACTATGACGCATCATTACTTACAGTTTCCTCAGGGATGCCATGATTTTTCAGATAGCAGAATCCTATTCCCTCCAATGCTTGACACATTTCTGAGCCAAGTTTGTCCAATTCAACATGACCTTCCTTTCCCACAGCATACAGCTGGAAATCAATTACAGGAATTGTTGTCATATTGCTATCCTTCTGAAATAGTAAAAATATAATCATGACCGACTATACCATGCTATACAGTATGGGTTTTTCTCATTGTTGAAGGTTATATGGCTGCCTATATTTGCTTACATCCACTTCATTTGAACTCTGGTGGATTTAATAATAAGTTGTCTCATTGGCAATCATACATGTACCACATCTCCTTATTTTAACATAACATCTCAAAAGAATTTGCTACAGTAATTTAATCAATTTCGGTCCAATGACATCACAAAAACATCAGCGGACTGAGAGAAAAAAAATTCTTAAAAGTTATTGGGCTAAAATTAAAAATATGTGTGTTTACTGTCATACCCTAATTTAAACCTCTTACCCAATTTTTTTTTTAACATTTTTTCATTATGCACTATAATTCAACATGTCTCTTCAATGTCAATAGGTACAATTTAGGTAAAAAAAAACCAAACAAGAATATGCATCCATAGGACACCATGGACTGCTAGCAATATCAAAATTTCCATGTTCTGTGACCTGTGAAATTAGGGTAAAAACTGTGATTTGGCATATAACATGTATAATTCAAGAAGTTCATATCATAATGAACAAGTTTACTATGTTTCAAGTTGATGTGACTACAAATTTATCATGTTCATGGTAAACTTCCCTGATGCCCTGACCAAAAGCTTTAACCTCGTGGTTCAGCATTGATATTAAAAAAAAATAACCAATAGAAAATGTTGAAAGCAAACCATATGCACCTACGAAGTCTTATAATATTATAGTACTAATCTAATATCATGCACTTATGGATTAGGAATAGCCTAAAATATTCAACTATATATATTTATACTCAAACAAAAAACTAGAATATATATTCATTTCCATAGTCTAAGGGAGATATGAAGATTTGTTCACATTTTTGTTGGGCATCAAATTGACTTTTCTCATTGTTTCCAGGATGAACAAATTTTCATATATCTAGAAGAAAAGAAAACAAATATAATCTGTATGTATCTATATTACCAACTATTTTTTAATTGATTCAACTCATAGAATTTCACATTTTATCATATACTTATAGAAAATAATGGTATAATTGTACCCCATGATAAAATTATTTGTACATATATATTTATTCATTAAATTTGAAGAATTGCCTTAGCCGTGTGATATGACTTTTGTTATCAACTGCTTCCGGTTTATATCAACTGCTTCCGTTTCATATCAACTGCTTCCGGTTTTTATCGCATGCTTTTCTGTAACGTTATCGCATTACAAATCGACGTCATTAGGCAAATTCCAGAAAATGTACCTCTGTCAATGGTACGTTTTTTTTTAGTAAAACATAACAAAGTTGGAGAAAAAGAAAATATTAATAATCAGGAAAATATATTATTGAAAAATACAAAACAAATATTACAACAAATGCATTGTTTATAAGTTTTAAAAATAGTTTTGTCTGTATGTCTTCTGCTGAAGTATATGATAAAAAGAACATAACATGTCGTTTTTCATATCAGACCCCTTATCAGCCCATGGTCAAAATCATCCCTCGAGCCTGTAGGCTCTCGGGCTGATAACATGACCTAGGGCTGATAAGGGGTCTGATATGAAAAAGGCCATGTTATAATCTATATTTATCACATACGAAAATTGTACAGAACCTGAAAATATAAATGTCAGGGAAATTATAATATAACTATCTACAGTTATCATACCTGGTAGTGATATGTAAATGGTTCTTGATCAAAAATTCAATTTTACAGCTCTTAGAGCATTCTGTGCTTGTACAATTAGTACATGTATGTATATATGCATGGTCATGTGTTGTATGTCAAGGGCATGAAGGGTGTATTTAAATATGACATATATATGAATAAATGTATAATACAATGAGGCCAAAATAATTATACCTGTTTCCTATCTACTCGCATTATAAAATAAGACAGGTAGGTAGCTAGAATTATTTAAAAAGAAAAGTCAAGGAGGTAGGGCATGTAGGCATGGTAGAGGGTTGTAATGGGGGTACCTTCGTGACGAATAACGGTAAAAATTCTTGCCAAATGACGTTATAGTTAGTTTTTGGTGCATGACGATAAAATGTACACTTTCTTTTAGACGATAAAAATATCGACCGATTTTGACAAATCAAGCTAATCTTTTTTCCAAAAGTTACGGTAACGATAATTATTTAAGACCTCTGACAAATCACGATAAGGATATTTTGACAAATCACGGTAAAATTTTAACCAATTTGATGCTAACGGTTGCCGAAAATGACCGTTTGACCACTGACAGTAAAGGGCATTCCTATCCTCATATGCATGGTAGGGTGACATGAAACAGAAATATATTTTTTCGTCCTGATAAACATGCTGAAATGATAAATGAATGAACAAAATATAGAACATACAAATTAATTGTTTGTCAACAAAATACAACTGAATAGATGCCATAGAAAGATTCAAGAGCATATACATAAAAAAATTCTGTACAATTTTATTACATAAAAACTGATGCAGTGCCACAAAGCAACTCAAACAACTAACTCCTTTTCAGAAAACACCCTATATGTTTTCCCTAATAAAGCCTCCCAGATCTTCCATTATGACACATGTTGATGCCTCCACCTTTAATCCATTGTGACTAAATATCCCCCTTCACCAGGTTGAGAACAAACCCTCTGTATGGTGTTTATACCTGTATAGAGGAATAATCCTTCTATAGAGGGATAAAATTATCCCTCTATAGAGGGGTATTTTTGTTAAGACTGGATTTAAAGCAAAATAGGACAGAATGGCATTTTCTTGTTATATCATGTATATTGGCTATAATCTATAGCACTATATGCATCAATTATTGCACTTTACTAAAAAATTGGGATGCCCAGTTTTCTGCTAAAGTCATGAAAGTGACAGAACTTGCGATCTATTGTATACCTATCTGAACACCTGATCAACAATAAAAGGGACAGTTGACCTTTAAATTTTATGTTAAATCTATAAACAATAGAAATTTTGTTCAACGAGGATTAACTGAGTTGAATTTACCTGATCATTACAGCTTTCAATTATGGTGAACAATAGATTGTATATTCTGTCAGTTTAGCAGTAAACTGGGCATGTGCATATCAAATTAAGTACATCATTTGGTGCATCAAATGTTGCAGGTTACTGCCATAATAAGTAGGAAAGGCCATTCTGCCCTATTTTGCTTTAAATCCAGTCTTAACAAAAATACCCCTCTATAGAAGGATAATTTTATCCCTCTATAGAAGGTTTATTCCTCTATACAGGTATAAACACCATACAGAGGGTTTGTTCCCAACCTGTTCACACTCCACATAACTTGACAGTCAAACAATGACTGTTTCTATTCTAACGCCTGCTGTTTTATTTGTTTTAAAAACTTATATTCTTTTTAGTGCTAACTTATTTAATTTTATATTGGTTTGTGTCTTTGTGTCATTTTTACCTCATATAGATCCATATAATCACAATAACTATTATAACTTAGTTTACCACTTGTCTCTTTTGAAATGAAAATGAAAGTAGATCCCCGCGGAATCTCGTTTTGAAAATTCTTAATATAGTGAACCGGAAGCACATGCTGGAAAATGGTAAACATGTCCAGACACGTTTACAGGGAAAACTTTACTAAAAACCATAAAGTCATCATTGCAATCGAATGAAATATGCTAACCAGTTAAAGTAAACATATTTTATATTATAGGACCTTTGTAAACGGTATGAAAATTTTAAAAACATCTAGAAGATGTCTTATATGCTGGGTAAAACAGAGAGAAAAAAAAAATTACGATACTGTGTACGACAGTCTCTTGCCCAGACACGTTTCTCCTTATCTGATAATGACATGACTTTAAATTAAACATGATGCCATCTGTTGTCACTTGTACCATATGTTTTAACTATAATTTATTATACAAACCCCATTTCACCAAATGTTCCCTTGAACAGCAGTTGCAGATTTTTTCATGTTTTTGTGATTTATTTAATTTATGTAGTTTACAAATTATTTTTTAAAATTGGATTTGTGTACCTAAATAAATGAAAATGACAGGTAAAGTTGCTCTTTTTTGGAAATTTAGAATTTTCTGTATAACTTTTTTAGGAAAAAATAAGTAATTGAACATTGAAAGTTAGACATTTTATATACTTCTTTAATAATATAATTTTTTCTGTGAGTAATATGAGAACAGAAAGGTAAAAAATTGTTAGCTATGCACATACCCTTACTCTTCTAATTGTGCAGAGATTGATCAAGGTTTCTGTAAAACAATATTGAGCTGGCTTGTTAGTTTGTAGCTTTTATTCAAAATTACAAATGTATGAAATGATGTAAACATTTTGAAAAAAAGATGATTTTTATAAATATCAACATCCTTGAATTTCTAGGGAAGGGCCTTTGACACTTCAGGGATTAGCCAAATTTAATTAAAAATTAAATTGATGGACCTGCAGATGACCCTTTGACCAGTTGACCTGCATAGTAATTTATTTTACAGGTATTACATGGAAAATGTCAATGACAGACCAAACAGATCATGACAAGGTAAAAATAAAACAGGTTACACACATGATTAATTTGATCATTTTTTTTCTACTTTGTTTTCTTGTAGAGTTATCTTCCCTATTTATAGTGATGATGAAATCCTTACAGATTAAGTACATATAAACAAAATTAAATGCATTGGAGTACGCATGCTTTTCTATTTAATAATTGCGCCACAATCAGTTATGCATTAAGTCTCGTGTGAATAAGAAGTATTAAGAGTGCAGAGAAAATTCAGAGTGCCATGGAAGTTTACATAGGAAGTCAATTTCTTATTGAGGTAAGAAAAAATGCAGCAAGTAATTAGTTTGACTCTGGCATATATTTTATTCATTTCCAAGCTGAGAGGGATATGTAGAGTTTCTTGATATATATACTCATTGTATGTATGATAAAAAAATCACATATCAGGACAGCATGTGGTGGGACTGTGGGGGGGGGGGGGGGGGGGGCATTGGAAAAGATATTCTGGTCTGGTAAGAACTGAAAAATATTACATAGGATATTGCCAACAAGTGTTAACAGAGATTCAGTCCACAACCCCCCCACCACCTTAAAAAAACCCAAACAAATGAGCATCTTCTTATAATACATTATCTTGAAGTGTAGAAAACATTTGCATTGTATGAGTAAAAAGATGTTGAAGAAACAACATGTTACCTTGAATTCATTCATTTTCTTGAGTACCAATTTTCATGCATACATGATTTGTAGGTTTAAAAAATTATGCATACAATCCTATTTTGGATTTATAAATTATCATAAATTAAATGTTGTTGAACACTTAAATTGGTTGTTAACCATGTTAACCCTTAATCCACAAAAAATAGTACCCAATGAATAATAATAAATCCGAAGTATATACAAATGTATTTTATCTGACAACCTGTCATGCCTGTATGTATGATTAATGAAAATCTTTTAAAAATAGATTTTTAACCGGATTTTCGAAAGAAAAATAGGTTATTGATTTGGGGATGTACAGCGAGCAGGCAGCTGCCAAACAGTGTCAGTTCATTAACATGAAAACGCTTTGACGAAATCTTTACAAATTTAGATATGTTGTTTCCTGTGACTAAATGAAGGTTAAGTCCAATTTTCACAATTTCAGCTGTTCTCGTTGTTGAGTTGTAGACCTTTCAGTAGCAAAAGTGATTCTTATTATATGATTTTGAGTTATTTCCCTTTGAACAGAAATGGTGAAATTAATAAGTAATTTCTATGTCATTTGGTCTCTTGTTTTTATTTTGAGTTATTTCCCTTTGAACAGAAATGGTGTTAATTATAAGTCTATCAATGATTGTATCTGTTCAATTGATTTTAGTCAGGAGTTGTCAAAAATTTCTTTATAACTATTTTTTTTTTAAGTTGTGTGTTTTGAAGGTAGATGTCACAGTTGTTATGTGGTATTTCCTTTTTATTGTGTGTGTAATAATGTTTAATTTTTACTTGATCCTGTTTGGGGGTCCAGATTTGCAAATATCATTTTCATTAGATAATAATCTTTAAATGTATTCATTTATATCTTTTACTCAACAATAAAACTCCAGAACTATGTGTTGTTTTTCACTTAGATTAAACTGCAAACATCCTGCATGATACTATGCAGTATACATGCTTCAAGTATCCACCACTGTGACATTGCACACGAAAACTAGACATTTCTATTACTTGTGGTGTTCCTAGGACATAATTTGAATCCTGTTCTTACCAGAAATTAATCTGTATTACATTTGATTTACAAAATGATTTATCCTGGTGCCTTTTTGATTATTTTTATGTTAATTAAGGAATAACTGTAATATAGGATTACTGTAATTAGAAGGTTTACAATTAAATTGTTTTTTGTTTCTTTTAACTAATTATATATATATAAAATGTCATGTAAGTGTTTAAACTTCATAAAAATATTTTGAAAGCTTTGAGAACCTTTTCATAAGACATGACATAACTTTACACATGTAACATGCATAAGGATTATTACTGAAACATGAAAAATATAACATGACCATGATGACCGGAACATGATTTTTCATATTTTAATGAAACGAAAGGGACATACAAAAAACTAGTAATAGATATCAGTGTGCAACAGGAAACGGATTTCTTTACATTGTCACCTTTAAATTTGATACAATGGTGCTATAAATTAAATCAAATTTTAGATTATAACAAAATGAATATAACTGGCATGACTATTGCGTAATAAGGAAGACTTCCAAAATAGAAAAGGGGATAGGCTAGATGTTTATTGGACAAGATGTTTATGAAATATTAGGCTAATAATCTTTAAATGTATTCATTTATATCTTTTACTCAACAATAAAACTCCAGAACTATGTGTTGTTTTTCACTTAGATTAAACTGCAAACATCCTGCATGATACTATGCAGTATACATGCTTCAAGTATCTACCACTGTGACATTGCACACGAAAACTAGACATTTCTATTACTTGTGGTGTTCCTAGGACATAATTTGAATCCTGTTCTTACCAGAAATTTATCTGTATTACATTTGATTTACAAAATGATTTATCCTGGTGCCTTTTTGATTATTTTTATGTTAATTAAGGAATAACTGTAATATAGGATTACTGTAATTAGAAGGTTTACAATTAAATTGTTTTTTGTTTCTTTTAACTAATTATATATATATAAAATGTCATGTAAGTGTTTAAACTTCATAAAAATATTTTGAAAGCTTTGAGAACCTTTTCATAAGACATGACATAACTTTACACATGTAACATGCATAAGGATTATTACTGAAACATGAAAAATATAACATGACCATGATGACCGGAACATGATTTTTCATATTTTAATGAAACGAAAGGGACATACAAAAAACTAGTAATAGATATCAGTGTGCAACAGGAAACGGATTTCTTTACATTGTCACCTTTAAATTTGATACAATGGTGCTATAAATTAAATCAAATTTTATATTATAACAAAATGAATATAACTGGCATGACTATTGCGTAATAAGGAAGACTTCCAAAATAGAAAAGGGGATAGGCTAGACGTTTATTGGACAAGATGTTTATGAAATATTAGGCTATTATGCAATTGATTATTGTGTGTAGGCTGAAGTTATATTTAGAAAAACAGTTTTTTTTATCTTGATCCTTAAAATTAAGATGTAAGTTAGGAAAGCCTAACTAGAGCAATAAGTCTTTTCTTTGGCCACACATGTATTAGATGAAAGAAATATTTTTTCTTTAGATATTCAAAATTTAACTATTTTATGAGTGTTATGATGAAACAATTTGCATCTGTTAACAGAATTCATTACCGGTACTCATTAGTAAGTGTTTTTTTATTGAGAGGGTATATTAAGACTCTACATATAATAAACAAAAAAAGAAGGCTATCTGTTATTGCAACTATTGGTAAATGTATTGAAGCATTGTGTTTAACACTTTTGATGAAATAATTGACTTAACCAGTCACAAGTTTATAAGCAGGAATATTTTATTAGTTTTCTTAAGATGATTTTCTTTCATATTTTCATAAAATTGAAGGCCATGCAAAAACTATTAATCATGTTTATTGAAGGCAGTGTGCAACAAGAAAAACATTTCTCTTCATGAATGAAAAAAAAAATGTTTAAGTTTTTACATTGTATTTTATTAACATGCTCAGATAAATTTCAGTTTAGATATTTTCACAAATTTTATTTTATTTCAGCACAATTACACTGTAAGTGGTCAAGTAACATCCACCCAAGTAAATATGTGCAATAATCCAAATATAATTGTACGACAACCTCCTGATACATATAACACACCTTCAGGATCAAATGTATCTACTTTGAAACAACTCACAGAGTCCCATTACATAACAACTGAAGAATGTGTCGTCAATTATCCTATGGTAAGTTATCAACAAGTTTTGACTATTTCTTTTAAAGCTGTTATCCTAATGCTTGTAGTTTAAAGGTTTGGTTGGCTTGCTTGCTTTATTTGTATAAATGTTTGCTCAAGCATTGTAATTAAGATTGGCATCTGCAATCAATAGATAGGCAGGGCTTCAGCTTGTATACATTATTGATACTTAAATGTTATTGGGTGTTATTTATATTAATGTAAACAAGCTGAAGTCCCGCCTATCTATTGATTGCAGATGTCAATCTTAATTACAATGCTTGAGCAAACATTTATACAAACAAAGCAAGCAAGCTAACCAAACCTTTAAATTGCTAGCATTAGGATAACAGCTTTAAAAGGTTGGAGATTTTAAGGTCCTGGCTACGATATTAAAGGGGAATTATGTTTTCTGTCTGTGTGTCTGTCCTTTATTAGGTTTTGATTTAAGGTAGGGTAAAGTTTTGGTGTTATACAGACACATATTCTTGTTCACAATATTTAGTGAAAAGTATTGAAAAGGATAAACTTAACAACATTAGAACTCCATCTCCACCAGGTGTGCCCCTTATTCCTTTAGATCCTGAACTGCATAGTTTTATAAAAGAAATGGATCTTAAGAGAAAAATTACAGAAGCACCATGGTGCATTAGCCAGTTTGTAATTTGTAGTAAAAGTTGTGCACCTTACTAGAAGTGATCTCAAGAATATACGATATATATGCCATTTAAAACTATTTGATACATCCCAAGCACAGCAAAAATCTTCATAGCCTCTACTCCATAAAGCATGAGAGACGAGCATGAACATCATTTTGATTTACTAACGTCTATTTAATTTTCATGAACATGTTTTTTTTTATCTTACATGACAACAATACCTATAGATAATTCTAAGAGATATTGAAAGCAAATATCTCCACAATGTAATGTTTGTCTTATATCTATAGGTTAGACCCAGACGTGAATTCCTTGACATACTTAAACAAGTAGGAGCATCATGGGAAGTTTTAACAAGAAAAGAGGTAGGTACATGTATTACATTTTTACTAGCTGATCATGTGATTAAATCAGAAATAGATTTACATCAGACTATAAATGTCTAAAACAATACAAAGTCATGTTTTTTTCTCTGACTGTTAATGACGTCTGTACACTAAATCCATTGGATGTTGGATGTGTACTGATAGATATTTCAGTCTTAGATACATGATTTTTTTTTATTAGTTGTTATTGGCTTTGAACTAGCTGCCAGTAACTGCGAGTACTCTCAGATCTGTACTTAGTGTCCTTTTTGTTGTTAGGGATGAGGGATGGATAAATACCTTGTCACATCCGGTCAGTGTTTATGTTTGATGTTTTTCTGCTTTGTAAAGATCTGATGAGTTTTAAGCTTTTTAGTCCCCTACCGAAGAAGTCGAAGGGGACTTTAGGTTTGCACTCTGTCCATCTGTCTGTCCGTCCGTCCGTTTGTCCATCCGTCAGTCCGGCAAATCAGTTTTCCAGACTTTTTTTCTTCATGCTTGAAGATATTGATTTGATATTTAATGTATTGTTTAATCATGACAAGTTACAGGTCAAGTTCGATTTTCACGATTTAAGCTTTTCTCCTTGTTCAGTTAAAGCCCTTTCCCTAGAATTAAATTTTTGATGAAATACTTATTAATTACTAGATTTCTGTTCAAAGGAATTAACTCATTTTTTAACTTTCCCTAGAATTAAATTTTTGATGAAATACTTATTAACTACTAGATTTCTCTTCAAAGGGAAATAACTCATTTTTTTTTAAAGATTTGTAAAAGACATTGTATTAAGATAAATGACATTTTGGATTTTTTTCCTTTTCTTTAGTAAATTGTTTGAAGAATTTAGTGGTAGGTTTGCTCCATTACAATGAAATTTTAACCGGTATGGGACTATGTATTGCCATGCAATACTCACAGAATGCTTGTTTCAACTGATTTTTTTGCGGTCGTATATTGGTATGACGTTGGCGTCGGCTTTGTCGTTGTCGTCCGAAGACACATTGGTTTTCGCACAATAACTTTAGTTTAAGTGAATGGATCTCTATGAAATTTTACCATAAGGTTCAAAACCACAAAAGGAAGGTTGGGATTGATTTTTTGGGTTATGGTACCAACAGTTAAGGAAAAAGGGGCCAAAAATAAGCATTTTTGTAACTTCCAGACAATAACTTGTGTGTTAGTGTATGAATCTCTATGACGTTGTACCACAAGGTTCAATATCACAAAGGGAATGCTGGGATTGATTTTGGAGGTAATTGCCTCAAAATTTTAGGAATTAAATAAAAGGGGCAAAAAACATGCATTTTTCTAGTTTTATGACAATTATTTGTGTTTTAGTGTTTGGATCTTTCTGAAATTGTACTACAAGGTTCCATATCACAAAGGGAAAGCTGGAATCGAGTTTGGGGGTAATTGCCCTAAACATTTAGGAATAAGGGGCCAAAAAAAAGCATTTTTCTAGTTTCCAGACAATAACTTGTGTCAAGTGTATGGATCTCTCTGAAATTGTACTGCAAGGTACCATACAACAAAGGGAAGGCTGGGATTGATTTTGGGGGTAATTGCCTCAAAATTTTAGGGGCCAAAAAAGGGCAAAAAACAGCATTTTTCTAGTTTCAGGACAATAACTTGTGTGTAAGTGTATGGATCTTTTTGAAATTGTACTACAAGGTTCCATATCACAAAGGGAAAGCTGGGTTTGAGTTTGGGGGCAATTGCCCTAAACAATTAGGAATTTGGGGCCAAAAAACAAGCATTTTTACAGTTTCCAGACAATAACTTGTGTGTCAAGTGTATGGATCTCTCTGAGATTGTACTGCAAGCTACCATACCACAAAGCGAAGGCTGGGATTGAGTTTGGGGGTGATGAATCATAAGGGGGTTCAAAAAATTGGGGGGAGATTTTTTTCCTTTTTTTTTCTTTAAAATTTTCCATTTTAAGTTGGCTTTTTTTTATTTATATATAAAAGCAAATAATAATGATAAGGTTTGATTTCATCAAAAATTGAAATATTGGGGTTCTTTGATATGCTGAATCTAACCGTGTATTTAGATTCTTAATTTTTAGTCCCATTTTCAAATTGGTCTACATTAAGGTCCAAAGGGTCCAAAATTAAACTTAGTTTGATTTTAACAACAATTGAATTAATTCTTGGGGTTCTTTGATATGCTGAATCTAACCGTGTATGTATTTAGATTTTGGATATTGGACCATAATAGGTAAATTAAAAAAATTTTAAGTTCTAATTAGACCACATTCATTCTGTGTCAGAAACCTATGCTGTGTCAAATATTTAATCACAATCCAAATTCAGAGCTATATCAAGCTTGAATGTTGTGTCCATACTTGCCCCAACTGTTTAGGGTTCGACCTCTGCTGTCATATCAAGCTGCGCCCAGCGGAGCATTTTATTATGTCATTATCCTAGATTTAGTACAAGGTCATCACCTGACATGACCCGGTCATCCTATCAACACAGATGTTGGTTCTGATAATTTTAGCAACATAATTAGTATCTGGATCATTAGTATTCTATATTTGAAGCTACAATAAAATTAAATCACTTAGTCTAGTGATTAATTTGTACTACTTAAATAGGTGATTTTTAAAGAAAGACAACTCTTACTTCCAACCTTTATGGACATAATGTTACTTGAATCAGTGATTTAGAAAATCACTCATTTAAGTAAGTCCCCTGACTGTCTAGTTTCAGGACAATAACTTGTGTATAAGTATTTTGATTGCTCTGATTTGATTTTGATTTTTGGTGTTTTAATGCCACTTTTAAGCACCGCTTTTGGTCTTTTTCGAATGGATAAAGCTGGAGTGTCTGGAGAAAACCACTGACCTACGATAGGAAAACTGACAATCCTAGTCAATTAAGATTGGAGTCGAGTGCACCCGCACGAGCTGGGTTCGAACTCACGACCTCAGTGTTGACTGGCTAGTGATTACAGTAGTAACTACTTAGACCACTCGGCCACCGAGGCCCCTGATTGCTCTGAAATTGTACCACAAGGTTCAATACCACAAGAAGGTTGGCATTCATTTTGGGGGGTAATTGCCCAAATTTTTGCAATTTTTGTGTCAAATATTTTATCACAATCCAAATTCAGAGCTGTATCAAGCTTGAATGTTGTGTCCATACTTGCCCCAACTGTTCAGGGTTCAACCTCTGCGGTCGTATCAAGCTGCACCCAGCGGAGCATTTTATTTTAGTTTGTTCTTATGTGGTGTTGTTACACCACTGTCCCAGGTTGGGGGGAGGGTTGAGCGCTCACAAACATGTTTAACCCAGCCACATTCTTTATGTGCCCGTCCCAAGTCAGGAGCCTGTAGTTCAGTGGTTGTCGTTGGTTCATGTCTGTCATATTTGTTTTTCGTTTTAATGTTTTCTCAATTGAAATGTTTCATATTTTTCATGTCAGGGCCTTTTATAGCCAAATATACGGTATGGGTTTTCTCATTTTTGAAGGCCATACGGTGGCGTATAATTGCTTACATCCACTTTATTTGAACTTTGGTGGATAGTTGTCTCATTGGCAATGGTACCACATATCCTTATTTCTATATTAAAAGAACAATGAGGGATATTGAGGTAAAGTACCTCAAAGTATAAATACATATCTAATCATACTAAATTTATATCTGAGAGGCTGCTTATGAGGATATTGATTTTGTGTTTACTGGATCTGTCAATGTGTGACCATCTTATTACAGTAGTCACTGGCATGTGGTGTAGGTAGTGCATGAAAGTAATAGCCCTCCATATATATATGACACTTGTGTATTTACTATGAAATAATCAGGAAGATATTTTTGGAGATAAACACCTAAATTCACTTATTCATTGTGATAATATCAACGACAAGAGTTATTTCTAAGTAAATCATTCACATAAATAAAGTTTATGCTACATATCTGAATACTTGTTAACTATCACTATTCTCAAATTTTCCTTTGATCATTTTTTATATGACTGCAAAAATTTGCAAAAAAAGTTTTTGTGGTCATATAATGTTATGACGTTGTCAGTGTTGTCATTGTTTTCCGAAGACATTTGGTTTCAATATATATGATACATGCAATAACTTGAGAATAAGTGTATAGATCTATATGATTGTACCACAAGGTTCCATACCACAAAAGGAAGGTTGGGATTGATTTTTGGGGTATTTGTCCTAACTGTTTAATAAGGGCCAGAAACAAGCATTTGTCTTGTTTCAGGACAATAACTTGTGTATAAGTGTATGGATCTCTATGAAACTGTTCAGGAATTAGGGGTCAAAAAGGGGCAAAAAAACTAGGATTTTCTGGTTTCTTTTTTGACCAATTTCAGTGTGGTTTAATTCAAAATCTTGAACTCTTGAATATGCTGAATCTAACAGTGTATTTAGATATTGGAATTTGGGTCCCGATATTGAATTGGTCCACATTTAGGTCTAAAGTGTCCAAAATTAAACTTTGTTTGATATGCAAAAATTAAATTATTTGGGTTCTTTGATATGCCAAATCTAACTGTGCATTTAGAATTTTGTTTTGGGACAGTTTTTCATATTGGTCCAAAATTAAGGTCCAACGGGTCCAAAATTATACTTAGTATTACAAAAATTGAATTCAAGGGGTTCTTTGATATGCAGAATCTAAATATGTATTTAGATTTGTGATCTTTGGGTCCAGTTTTCATGTTGGTCAAAATCAGTGTCCAAAATTAAACTTTATTTGATTTCAACAAAAATTGAATTGATGAGGTTTTTTGATATACTGATTCTAACCATGTATTTATATTTTCTATTTTGTGCCCAATTAACAAATTGGTCCACATTAAGGTCCAAAGGGTCCAAAAATAAACCACTGTTTGATATCATCAAAAATTGAATTCTTTGGGGTTCTTTGATATTCTGAATCTTACAATTCTATTTAGATTTTTGATTTTGGACCATAATAGGTTAAATGCCCAATTTCAAATGTTTAAGTTCTTAGACCACATTCGTTCTGTGTCAGAAACCTATGCTGTGTCAAATATTTAATCACAATCCAAATTCAGAGCTGTATTAAGCTTGAATGTTGTGTCCTTACTTGCCCCAACTGCTCAGAGTTCGACCTCAATGATTGTATCCAGCTGCACCCTGCAGAGCATTTTATTGCATATACTGTAGTAATTACAACCTGTTTATCTGTTAATTGAAGGTCTGTAGTTTTCTAAAAGATTACATTGGTAGCAGACAGTTATACAATCCAAATGACCCTAGTATAGTGTTCTGTAAAAAAGATCCTCTGGGAAAAGTATTTGGAGTTGACAAATTTACCTTTACAGAAGCAACGTAAGTGTATATCTATATATCATTGAGTTTATCATTATAGTAAATTTATGGTCACCTTTTTATTGTTTAGTTAGCTGTATATTTTAGATGAAGCAACACTGACACTCATTTATTTTTAATCATTTATGTATGTCTGATGAACATCCGAAGGAATAAAAATTCAATCTTTATAAAGGTGAAATTTTGTTAATCTATATTTGGGAGAAAAAGAAATAATCAAATCAAAGTGCTAGCAATTATAGGTCACTGTACGGCCTTCAACACAATGACTTTATGTCACATATTTCATTTTGGCCTAACTGTAATATTGACAACATGTTAGGACCCCTGTCAACTTACACTAAGGATCTGAATATACACTCCCCCATCTTTATCTGAACTAGTTAATGTCTGTAAGCTTTATAATTCACACCTGTCTTGTATTTTCAGGAAATTGATAGATGCCAACTGCTACCAATTACCTGACTCTTGTATGGTTAAAAAAGAACAATTAGTTGCTAGACCAAAGAAAAGAAGTAATACTAGTACATCAAATCAAGAAAGAAGGGTAATTATTTTAATTTGAAACAGCAATCTTGGGATTGTTTTGAAAATACTATATCTATGGCATGCCAAAATCTCTTTAAGAGATGATTTTATTTTATTTAATTGAAGTTCCTCCAGCCAAATTGACCTTACAGTTTGAAAATTTATTGTCTTCAGTATGACAGGTTTTTATGAAAATTCATTAGAATGTTTCCATAATCCTGAAATTATACATTGTTATTATATAAATACAGAAATTATTGAGTGCATTTATTCTCTGGGACGCTACTTCCTATTTGCAAGGTGATAGGACGTGCAGCTGGAATAGGTCACATTTTCCAGCTTGAAAATATGTGAATAGATGGGGGAAACTTGATAAGGTCAATAAAGTTCCTATTACTTGCTATATGAAAAGCCCTGTAATTTTTTAAGAGTCGAAAGTCTCGCCCTATGCAGACATTTTTGAAAGGGCTCAGCAGCTTATGCAAAAGCCAAGGAAAGGTAATGTTGCTCATAGATTGAGTTCCTCCCTTCAAAAATTCTACAGTTGTCACCACGATCTGATTGACCGCTATGGAGTGTCAGTTTCATACATGACAAAAAGCTTTCCTGATCCCCTGAATTGACCCTTGGTTTTTGGTGGGGTTGCTGTATGTTCTTTTTATTTTTTGTATTATTTGTTAATTCTTCTTCTTCTGTCATCTTTCTTGGTATTCCCAGCTGTGTTTTTATCCACAAATTGTCCGTCTTTTGACACTTTGGTATTCCACTTTTTCCAACACACCACATGAAACCAATATATGTTACATTATTACCTAAGCAATATATGAAAAAGTTTACATTTTAAAAATCTAAATTATATGAAAAGGGTGTGATAACAAAACTCCAGCACCACCCCTATCAATTAAGTATTTAAATAATGCCACTAAGCCAATATTCAACAACAAAAATTTAATAAAAAAAAAAAGCTGCTGTTATTTCGAAAAAAGAAAAAAAATTGTAGTATTCTGAAAAATCGTGTAACTCAATTGCTATCAAACTTTGCAGAAATGAAGCATTTGGCATTTGCAACTCTTTATTTAAAACAGTTGCTTCCCTTGTAATATTGAGTTGATCGCTTCAACCATTACCAAAAATAAATGGTTGGCAGCTTTGCTAAAAATATAAATACAACTATTATGTGAAAGAAAATGAAAATGTTTTGTTCCCTTGTCATGATATGAATGTTTTTGTTTATTTACAGATAGTAACTGTTTCTTGTCCAAAGTTGATTGACATTCTTGTACATAGTCCCAGTACTCAGACAACAGAACAGCAGAAAGCACAGAATAATTCCCAAGGCCAGTCATCAGACACAAGTGCAAACAGAGTTAAACAAGGTTGTTTGCTGTTCTACTTTTTGATTTGTTGATATATAGCTAATTTACTATTATTAGACAAGCATCCAGCTAGAGAGGTTAAGGATACCAGATCATATTTATTATGCAAAAGCTGTGTATATAATATATATATTGTAATGATCACATACTTTCAAAAATTGAAAGAAATGAAGAAGATATTATTTCAAACATGTCAAAAGCCATTCATCACATGTCAAAATCTGTTCAATATTGTATTTCTGATTCTGCATATACATGATATATGCATAACACACAAACAAAAAAATATATAGTAAAAAATAATACAATCAAAACAATATTAAAAGTATCACGCACACAATTTTTTTTATTAGCTATATTTGATGTTCATAAAAATGATGAAGAAAATATTTTTTATCTTTATGTTTTGTATGAGCAGTTCCTACTGCATTCACAGTGATGGCATGCATGGTATGAGAATGTTTAGGGTTTATTACTTTTTATGCCCCTGCTGCATTGGAGGGGCATTAAGTGTTACCCTTGTCTGTCCATCTGTACATCCATATGTCCCAAAATTAGTTTCCGTTCTCTAACTTAAGTTTACCTCAACCAAATGTTATGAAACTTTACACAATGCTTATTACCACAAAACACAGATCAAGTTCTAATTTGGGTTGCAACTTTAATGTTCCTGTCCCTTTATAACACTATATGCAAGTGGGGGCATCATCTGTGTTCCATGGACACATTCACCATTTATTTATTCTATATGAATGAAAAGAGATGTAGAGTATATACCAATGAAATAGCAACCCAACGACAAAAACCAAAAGTTGCCTAATCTTCAACATATGTGTTCAACCCACAACTGTCCAAGATTAGGGGATTTTAGTGCTGGCAAAGATGTTTAATCTTAACCTTGCCATATTCTGTATATTCCTGTCCCAATATTCAGTTTTTGTCAATGGGTCTGTCTATCATACTTGTGTTTTGTTTATTGTTTTGTACATACATCAGGCCTTTTGTTTCCTCATTTGAATTACTTTACATTTTGTCACGTCTGGCTTTTTAAAGCTAACAATACAGTATGGGTTTTGCTCATTTTTGCTTACATCTATGTTATTTGATCTCTAGTGGACAGTTGTCTCATTTGCAATCATACCACATCTTATTTGTATATTGTCACTTAGATAATAATTCATTTTATCAATTTTAGCACAGAATTTGCCAGCTGCTTCTACTGGTAGGAGGAGACATAGATGGGTATCAGTAAGTATAATTCACAAATGTAAATAAAGAAAGATTAATGTACTGGTAATTGGGACCATAATAAAATATGTGCAGTAAAACTCATCAAATCCAAACCCTGTTAAAAATTAAACCTATCCAATCTTGACTCCTGTATCAATAGGTAAATGTTCTTTTGTTATTTAACTTGTGGGAATTGAACAAACATTTCTGTTTTTTGAAGAAGTCATCTATATCAAGTAGCTTGAAGATCTTTATTAAGTTATGAGCACCAATCTCTTTCACTTCAGTCCTTCTGCATTGTTCTTTGAACTGTGAACAAAGTGATTGAAAAAATTCTCTTTTTCTCCTTTTTGACTTGAACTAAACTGTACTAAAATTGAATATTTCCAAACAGTCTGCTGATGATTAAAAAAACAAATATTGCATTACATATTAAAAAGCAGTTACTTGTACACAATCTTCATTGATATTATCTTTGTTTTTTCATCCAATTTTGCTACTTAGCTTACCTCAATTGTCTACTGAACCACCCCAGTATTCTCAGTCTAGTATACATGCTTGCCACTTATAGTGGAGGTACTATCGGGTTGTAGAAGTGTTGTTAAGGCCAAACAAATAAATATGTGTGTTAAGGGATTCCTTATAAAGAAAAATAAGGGGAGGTACCGGTAGGTAAATCTTCTTTCTTATTTTGCTAAATACATTATTACCTTGAGTGTATTGGGAGACCGGCAATATTGTTATGATTCTCTACCATGAGTCCCAATAAAAACTTTTATGGTAGGCCTTTTCAGGCATAGAAATACAGGGTTGGTAGGCATGGTAGGGAAACCATTAATACCAGCATTTTTCATTTTGGCTGAAAGTTCACATGCCAATGAAGAAATTTGAAGTGCAATGAAAATACATTGTAGCATTAAACCTCATGAAACTTATTAAAACAAGAAAATATAGTTAATTAATGTATAATCAATTATAGGAAAGGGAAGATTCTGAACCAGATATAATAGCCATTGAGCTAGATGCTGACAATGATGATGATGTTATAGGTGTAGAGGTTGGAACCAACGGTGCTGATGATGTTATATCTGTAGAGGTTGATGCTGACAGAATTTCATTTGAGTATGAAGTCTGTTCAGATGAGGATGATATCATATCCAGCACAGCCAGTGTTTCAGGAATCTCAGATACTGTAAGTTTTATGAAATGAACACACGTCACTTAACCTTTAAGTCATAAGTGATATTTAAGGATAATTATCGATATGTTACCCTTTTTTGTTGATTTCACAGTATCCCTGTATACTAGATCTTAGGGGTCCTTGACTAGAGATCAGTAATGTGTTTGAAATAGTTATCAAATGGGTTTTCAGAAGAATGGAAATAATCTGTGTTATGTAGAAGCTTAGGAAATATCTATGAAAATGACCAACACAAACATACCAGTACTTTTAAGAGCAGTGTTTTTTGAACTTCTTTCCTGGCCAATTTAGCATTGTGGTATTCAGCACTATCATATTTCAACACTGTAATATTGTACTCACCACAGCTTTAAAGTTTAAAAGTAATGGCTTAAAGCTTTCAAAGGGACATTGAAGTACCTTTCAGCCATCGAAAAGATACAACCACATATTGTATATTTCAGTATAGAATTTAGAAAATTAAGTTTAATAAAAAAACATTATGATATTGTGTGTCTTTACAACACCATCAGATTCTAAAGAGATTACAATTAGAAATTATATTGAATAAATTGTACCTTACAAAACTGAAGTGGTGTAGAATTTATTTATTGATTATCTCCCTTTGACTGTTTTTCATGCATAATGGGAATGATCATTTGAAAACATTAACTAAACCTGTTGGAAAATTCCAATATTTGAAGTGTTGAACACTTTATAACAGACATGGAAAAAAATCAGTATAAAGTCAGTTACCAAAGATGATTTGGGTAGGGTTTAAGCTAGGATTTTGAGGGCTTTTAGTCACTTTTGTGTGATAAGAAAATCAACCTTTCTTAGAGTAGTTATTGCATAGGGTTTAATACATGAACAAGAACATGAGTATTTTCTTTTTCAGTATTTCATTAGTATACATGTACAAGTAAAAATATAACAATTAAGATTAAAACAAAACTGTGAGCTGTATTTCTTTACAAGATAAATATTGTATGTTTTTATTTTGATTTGTATGTCTCAAAGTAGGGACTAATGAGACTAATATAATGAATCTATTGGTCAATGTTCCTGTCCTTATAATTTGCTTATGGTCTGCATATACTACAGAATAGAGAAAATGGGTAAAAAAATGAATCGGAGAGAATAATGGGCGCGTAAATATACAGAATAGAGAGAAAATTTGTATAAAAAAGAAATACAGAAAATGATGACTCAAACCCCCTCCCCAACACCCTAATTTGCACCATATCTCAAAAGACCTAAACCTAGCTATAAGTCCTAAAGTCAGAAGAATGTAGACAGATCAGTAGGTATTTCAATACTAGAAAAAATTATAATTGAGTTATCTTTCTTGTATTCGGGTGTGTGCTCCTACTCTTTGGAGGATTATGCACAGTAGAAGCACATTCAATTAATGGCGGCCCATTTTAATATAATATCTAAAGTGAGGTCTGGCAAAGACAAAATGCTTCTGAATTTAAAATTTTTAGAGGAATTCAAGAAAAAAACGATATGTTTGAATAAGTTCATTACGGTTTTTGTCTTTCTGTCAATTATGTTTTCATTATGAAACTCTGGTCAATGTGTGGTATGAACTATTTCTGGTTGCCCGTTTTGTTATTATATATCAAAAGTGAGGTCAGGCAAAGACAAAATACTTCTGAATTTAAAAATTTTAGCGGAATTCAAGAAAAACGATGTGTTTGAATAAGTTCATTATGGTTTTTGTCTTTCTGTCAATTATGTTTTCTTCATGAAACTCTGGTCAACTTGTGATATGAACAATTTCATATGTAATGACAAAATGCCAACTGACCGATTCTATTTGAAAGAATTAATTTTGATGATCATTAATGACCCATTGGATAAGTGGATTACCCGTAACAACAAATTATGACACCTGTTGTCATGGTTGTATCCGTTGATTAGGTTGGGGTAGTAAACTTGTCATAAACTTGTCACCAGCTAAAATTTTGCACAATTCATTTTTTTAACTCTTATAAATTTAAGTGACGGAATTGATCAGAAATATTTTCGTCATTTTGAAAATCGTCTTGTAAATGGCGAAAATGAGGAGGGCTAGCAAAATCACTGATTTGGGCTAGATTTATATATGTATTTCGAGAAAATTTCAACAATTGAATTTTTTTTTGTTTTACTTTTCAGAATGTAGTGATAATATGTGGTGATAGTGATATGGAATTTTGGGGTGATTCTGATTCAAGTGATTCAGAATTATCAGATGGGGTATGTTTATGTTATATAGTTGGGTTTTAGCTGCTAATTCAAAATAAAAAGGGTTTGATTTTCAGCCTTTCACCCCAAGAATTGTGTTGATGGTTTTGATTTAATCCAATTTTTTTTTAAAGATTTCGAATATTTATAGGAATCTGTTGGCCTAAATTTGATTAAAATTGTGTAGCCCATGCTCTCCAAAAAACGTACAGAAGATATTTGTATTTTATATTGTATATTAGCATAAAATATTACAGAAAAAAAAAATTGTTTATTATTAAAACATTTAAAAAGTATATAAATGGTTCAGAAATGTCAAATGATTTTATTTATGAATTATATTGAAGTTATGTTATTCTGAGGTCAATGATTACACATCAAATATTATAGATGGACATGAAAGAAAGAAGGGAAGAAAAGCTGATTGCTTGAAATATGTTGACTTTTACAACTTAACATGCGTAAGCCTCAGGCTAAATTTGAATTTAAAGAAACAAATGTTTTTAAGGAAATTTGAGAGATCTGCATTCCTAAACTTTTTCAGTCAATGTGTAACTTGATAAATATCCAAAAGATTTAATGTTAAATTTTAAAGCATATGGTCTTGACCACTGATGAGAAAGTAATTGTGAAAGGCATATATGGGACATTAAATTAAATCGGTATTGTGAAACATTTTTTTAAAATAAATGGTAAACTAGGGAACTTAATGTTAAACATATCATGTCAAAATTTTCTATTTACAGGATAAATGGACGTGCACAGAATGTGATACGAAAAACTCTCCTTTACATGGTCATTGTGGACATTGTAAAAAAGTGCGTCCAAACTGGCTACCAGAGACTACACGAAAGAGGCGGTTGGAAAGAATGAATTCAAAAGACCAGGCACTTTTGTCTTCTTCCGAATGCAGTGATATTTCTCATATCCCTTCAAAATTTCGTCGCTCTTCTAGAGACCGTCTTACATCGATAGAATTGGAATCTGACAAGGACTTAATAGTGGATGAAGAGGACTCAGGAATTAGCACCGTGTCTAGTCAGCAATCTAGTCAAGAAAATTTAGCCGACAATAAACTGAAATCCTATTCTACGTTGATAGAAAATTCATCCACGTTAGGAACGTATAGAACTTTGCTAAACTTTCAATCTACAGACTCAGCAAAAAATAAAGATGAACTGTCAGTATCAGATAAAATGGATATTTCTGGCAAACTGCAAAAAGAATCGAAGCAGCAAAAATCTGATAAAATTTCTAACAATAAGGAATTGGGAAATTCTCAATCACAACTTGGTCAGTGCTGTATTTGTTTCAGCCGGCCTAAAACTGCCAGCATTATTCATGGCTGCACTGGACATCAAGTGTGCTGTTATAGATGTGCCAAGCGACTGAAAAGACTTGCAAAACCATGCCCTCTCTGTAGACGACCTATTCAAAAGGTCATTAAAAATTATTTTGCTTAAATATTCGTATACTGATTACAGGACATATTGTTAATTTTCTTCTTTTTTGTTTTGTAAATTGCACTGTCATGACTGAATTATTAGCAAGTGATCAAGTTTACTAAAACTGATAGAATAAAACTTTGACTTAATTTGAATTCGTTATCTGCTTCTTAGGCTTCAGTAAACTTGCCAATGAAATGATTAAAAAAAAGTTTTGAATTTTCAATATTTTAAGTCATTGGAAACAACCGTCCAGGTATTTTTAAAGTTCATTAAAGCCACAATTTTTTATAATGGAATTTTCAAACTATTTAATAAATGTATATCTAAATAAGACAATCGTCTCAAACCAATTTAATGTCGGAAGAGGCCTGTGGTTTTGAATGGCCTTTAGGGCTATGATATTAGTATGGTTATCTATGTAAGCATTGTAGTACATCATTTGTTAAAATCTCAGCATTTTGTTTTGATAAATTAAATTATGCCATTGTTTGTATATGTAAATCAATTATTTATTTTTTTTTACCATATAACTCACCTATTTATCATGTTTATGTTCACTGGTTTTTATTATTTATTTTCATGTACTGTTATCTAATTTAAGTACTAATCATATTTATTTTTGTGTCTTCACATGGCAGCTATTATTGGATCATATTTTTAGCAATCTCTATCAATTAATACATGAATGATTGAAACATTAATCTAATTCATAATTATCATATTAGTTATTGTAAATGTTTTCTCTCAAATTACTGCAAAGACAAATTGTTCAACACTGTAGCTTCCATTGGGTATGCATGTTTTATTAACAATTTCTATCATTTCAATTTTAACTTTATAAATACCATAAATATTTGCAGAGATATATGTACTCACATCAATTTCAAAGTTTAATGTACAATTTAACCAAAGTATTATTTATTGCATATAATTCAAAAACTTCTACAAAGTAATGTTCGAATTTTATTCTTATTTTTACTGGAAAACTTATAGGGACCTTTCTTTTTTGCTGCAATTACTACCAAAGGTGCTATTAAATATAACTTGGGGAAAAGCATTTGAAGTATAAAAAATAAGATATGTTAGGTAACACTAAACACAAGTATTTTTATGCCCCCGCCATAGCATTAGGTTTTACCCTTGTCCTTCTGTACATATGTCCGTACATCCATACTTTTGAATTTGTATGCCCCGAAATTGGTTTCCGCTCTCCAACTTTAGTTTGCCTCTACCAAATGGTATGAATCTTGTACACAATGCTTAATACCACAAAACACAGATCAAATTTGAATTTTGGTGTCGTCACTTTTTCCGCTCTAGAGTTATGACCTTTACAAATAGAAAAAATTGCTGAATTTTTCATTTCCATTCTCTAACTTAAGTTTGCCTCGCCCAAATGTTATGAAACTTATACACAATGCTTATTACCTCAAAACTCTGATGAAGTACGAATTTGGGTAGCGTCACTTTTACTGTTCTTGAGTTATGTTCCTTTATCGTGTTATATGCAAGCGGGGGCATCATCTGTGTCCCATGGACACATACCCCATTTATTTTCTTTTAAACTAATATTTATATACATTCCCTCAAACAATAATCATTCAACACACTTCATGCCAGGGAAGTGATACCTAGTAAGTTTTAGTTGGTTATTTGAATTAAGTTACAGGTTGTTATTGGTAGATTTTAGATATCGATGTTAAATTGGCATAAGGTTAGAAATACTCAATTATTTGCAATGGATTTTTCACAGGGTTCTGGTTTATTTCAAAAGAAGAATTAGCAAACTATAAAAAAATGGGTAGCAGTCCTGTTACTAGAAATGTCGGCCTTTTATTGCAGTGGGAAAAAAAGGATATGGTTATGAGGCAAAAATTGACCTGAAATGCAGTTGTTTCGGAAGCTTCCAATTTCAGCACTTAATGGAAAAGGCAAATTTTGAATGGTTCCTTTGTTTATACAATTTTCAACATTTTAAATAATATGGATTTAATTTTCCAAAATTTTTAAACTTAAATGGGTAAGCTTTCAAACAGAAGAGATTCCAACCCTGCATCATCCAATCAGGAGTCCGAGGGTTGACTGTAAAATGTGTAAACAACTAATTGGGCTAATGTAACCATAAACCCATTCAACCTTTCTGCAGTTTTGTGATCTAAGGGAGACAATTTAGGTCTCTTAATATTATATATTAAGCTCATTACAACAGTATCGAGGATAGGGTATACCATAACAATTTAAATTACTTTTATAAACACTTTGTTTTCTTATACATGATTTTGTTTCACATAATTTTATTGAAATTACCGTATTTATAGGAAACGTCATTTGTCTCCTTGAATACAGACCAAGTCAGCAAATATCCAAATCAAAGAGGAGATATCCCTTTGGTAAATTATTTTGGAGGACGATTTGTTGTTGAGCCTCAGCTCAAACAAGTTTGAGTCAGGTCCAAAACCTGTCCCAGGCCTTTTTATACGACCGCAAAAAAATTTTGCGGTCGTATATTGGTATGACGTTGGCGTTGTCGTCGTCTGAAGACACATTGGTTTTCGCACTCTTACTTTAGTTTAAGTGAATGGATCTCTATGAAATTTTAACATAAGGTTCAATACCACAAAAAGAAGGGGTATTGGTACCTCCAGGTAAGGAATTAGGGGCCAAAAATAAGCATTTTTGTAACTTCCAGACATAACTTGTGTGTTAGTGTATGGATCTCTCTGACATTGTACCACAAGGTTCCATATCACAAAGGGAATGCTGGGATTGATTTTGGGGGTAATTGCCTCAAAATTTAATGAATAAGGGGCCAAAAAAGGGGCAAAAAACAAGCATTTTTCTAGTTTCATGACAATAACTTGTGTGTAAGTGTATGGATCTTTCTGAAATTGTACTACAAGGTTCCATATCACAAAGGGAAAGCTATAATTGAGTTTGGGGGTATTGCCCAAAACGTTTAGGAATAAGGGGCCAAAAATAAGCATTTTTCTAGTTTCCAGACAATAACCTGTGTTCAAGTGTATGGATCTCTCTGAAATTGTACTGCAAGGTACCATACCACAAAGGGAAGGCTGGATTGATTTTGGGGGTAATTGCCTCAAAATTTTAGGAATTAGGGGCCAAAAAGGGGCAAAAATCAAGCATTTTTCTAGTTTCATGACAATAACTTTTGTTTAAGTGTATGGATCTCTATGAAATTGTACTACAAGGTTCCATATCACTAAGGGAAAGCTGGGTTTGAGTTTGGGGTAATTGCCATAAACTTTTAAGAATTTTGGGCCAAAAAGGGCCTAAAAACAAGCATTTTTCTAGTTTCCAGACAATAACTTGTGTTCAAGTGTATGGATCTCTGTGAAATTGTACTGCAAGGTACCCTACCACAAAGGGAAGGCTGGGATTGATTTTGGGGGTAATTGCCTCAAAATTTTAGGAATTAGGGGCCAAAAAGGGGAAAAAACAAGCATTTTTCTAGTTTCAGGACAATAACTTGTGTGTAAGTGTATGGAACTTTATGAAATTGTACTACAAGGTTCCTTATCACAAAGGGAAAGCTGGGTTTGAGTTTGGGGGTATTTGCCCAAAACGTTAAAGAATTTGGGGCCAAAAAGGGGCCTAAAAACAAGCATTTTTCTAGTTTCCAGACAATAACCTGTGTTCAAATGTATGGATCTCTCTGAAATTGTACTGCAAGGTACCATACCACAAAGGGAAGGCTGGGATTGAGTTCGGGGTTGATGAATCATAAGGGGGTTAAAAAATTTGGGGGAGGGATTTTTTTTTTCCTTTTTTTCATTTTTTTTCTTTAAAATTTTCAATTTTAAATTGGTTATTTCTGATTATATATAAAAGCAAATAATAATGATATGGTTTGAATAGGTAAATTAAATTTTTTTAAGTTCTTAGACTTCATTCATTCTGTGTCAGAAACCTATGCTGTGTCAAATATTTAATCACAATCCAAATTCAGTGCTGTATTAAGCTTGAATGTTGTGTCCATACTTGCCCCAACTGTTCAGGGTTCGACCTCTGCGGTCGTATCAAGCTGCGCCAAGCGGAGCATTTTATTGCTTTTTTTTTTTTGCAATAGTCCTCCAGGACCTCTCTTCTTTTATACATTGAAGCTTTATACAGGACCTATGACTTTCTTAAGAAGAACCTTTCACTTAAATGAAAATCCAAACGAGCCTGGACCTTTTTTGCCTAAAACAAAATTTGATTCATGTTGTTTTCATAATATTAAACCTAGTTCATGGTGTTAAATAGTTGAAACAAATACTTGAATGAATACAATCCTTAATGGATAAATCACTTAAAACCACATATCAGATGTCTAAGTAAATCCATGTTTTATTACTTGTCAATTATTATTTTATTGGATAAAAAAAACTTATAATGATGTTATGGTGAAAGAGAGTGATTTTGTTGGCTAGTGGGAGGTTTTACCTCCCAGTCAGCATGGTCAGGCTACTATGCTTCAAAAGGGGGTTTCTAAATTTTTGAACAAAAATATTGTGAACTCCAAACAATATTTGAGACTTAACCCGTATGATATAGGACATCAGTTATAGTGATTAAAGTTTGTTGTTTGTGATAGACTGTTATTGTTTGTTATCATTCTCAAATTAGTGCCTGTTGTCATGGATACAAGGATTATTAACACAAAAATAATATTACCAATTCCATATTGGTCTATATTTGAAATATAAATTTATTTTAGAATAATGAATCTTGTTTCTATTTTTTTTTTTTTTTTAAACCTGTTAACTGTTTCATTGTATGATAGTTTAACTGGTTCATTGGACCGAATATATGACTTGCCTTAATAATTGTTAACCTGAAATGAAAATGGTTTCCACCAATTGAAAGGAAACACCTTATCATAGACAGCTGTCTACCTTTTGTAAACACATTTCCATGTGGTAAAATAACCAAGATGATTGTTAGCACAACACAGAAAGTTCTCATACTGATTTGTATTTGACAAGATTTATAAATCTAAATGACTGTATTTGATTATAAATAAACATTTAAATAAAAGTTAAATTATTTAGACAAATGGATATTGGTAGATGTGTATTTGAAATTCATATTTAGAAATTCTGATATATGCAATAATCATCTCTAATAATTGGATCTGTGGGAATGAAATAAAATATACGAAAAACTTAAGTTCGTTATATGTTTATAATGTAATTTTTGAATTTACAGTAGTTTCCGTGGGATGAAAATTCTTGTCTTTTAGTATTTTCCTGACTTTTCACTGTTGTGGGCTATACTTGCTTTTGGGTTGGTCCCTCTGGACCTACCCTATGTGAAATTCATGAAGTTTGTGACTTTTCTATTTGATACATATTAAATTTGTGTAGATAGACATCCAGATCAAAGTCTGTGTAACAAAAAATTTAAGAAAATTCACACTTTAATAGAAAAACGAAGGATATGGAGTATCCATCCATGACACAAAATCAGTACATGCACAGCAAAAAAACACACAAAAAGCGAAGGAACAGTGATTTTATTGCTGTTCTTCATCTCAAAGTCACTTTGAGGCCTTCAACATGGAGCTAAAAAAAAAAAATCTCACCTCACTGCAAGTTAAAGACAGTCCCTAGCACCGGCTTCAGCGGAATTCTTTGCAAAAAAATTTGGATAGACTTTGCAAGATGTAACACCACCAAGTCGGGCCCAGTCAAAAAAGAACATACTGGAAAGTAGTACATATCTAAAACAAAATAGTTCCTACGCATTGGTGTAAATATATAACTAGATAGAATATATTTTAGTATTAAGGTATCAGATGAAAGGTGAAGGACTGGTGGTCCTTGTACAAGACATATTGACTGATAATTTTGAACAATACAAAAATGTATGAATGAATTAAAAAATTGAGGCCATATACTGCTTCTTTCTCTGATATGAATATTAAGTACATGGTTTAGTGTATCAAAAATTCCGTTAACCAGTACCTCTGATGTATAAATAACTGTATATTTTATCCCCAAATTCTGGTAACTAGTACGGTCTGATGTATAAATAACCGTATATTTATCCTGCCCCATGAAATGTTTGAAAGTGAAAAATCAAATGTGGATAGGAACAAGGGCCAAGAATAGGTTGTGTGCGTCTTATTTAAATTTTAGTATACAAACTGGCCTAAAATTGAGAGAATATATGATGTGGCACACATAAGATAAGTTATCTCAAGAATAAATACACCATAACTTTTTAAAATACAGAGGAGCATAAACATCAATTTGTGGACGAGTGAATGATTTCTGCATCTACAGTATTTGGATTGTTAATTTTCGAAGTCGTATTCTTCTGAAGAGATACATGTAGTCAAATAGTTATGACATCTTGTAAGGCTATTTCATTTTTGTTGTGACACTGTCTATGGAAAGAATCACAGATCACAGAGACATCGGTACAAGTTCAGCAAATAGAATTCAAACTGCAACAGGTCAAGCTATAGGGCACAGGATTTTAAAGAAGATAGATTTAAACAAAATGATAGGAATGTAACCAAGTCTAATTGTGGTTATTGTGGATTCGATCATAGTGAGGGGAAAAGATGTCCTGCATATGGTAAACAGTGTCGAAATTGTGAAAAATATAATCATTTTGCATCAGTATGCAGAGCGGAAAAGAAAAGACAACAGAACAGAGCTGGCAACTTTAGACAAAGAGGAAGATGTGTGAAGAAAACAACGGAAGACAAAATTGAGACAGAATCGAATACAGACATATCAGATTATGATGAAGATGAAGATTATTTTGGACAAACTATCAAGTACATAAGGAAAATACGAAGAGTAAAGACCATACAAGAAATAAGAGACACTGAAGAAACAGTGACGGTAAGCATTGATGATGTAGATGTGAAGGTGGAACCTGATAGTGGAGCAGATGTGAATGTGATGGATGAAAATCAATTTGATAAATTTCAGAAAAGAACATACGGAAATCCAGTTTTAGAAAAGAGTAAAATCAAATTGAGTACATTGCAAAATTCATTACCAATAAAGGGAGAATTTAAGACTATAATAAGAAATAAAACATGTGGCACAGAAACAAAATTTATTGTTGTGAAAGGAAAAATCAATTCTCCACCCTTACTAAGTAAATCTACTCTGATTAAGCTAGGGATGTTACAGATTAGATCTGATGGTTCTTTTGTAAAGACAAACCAGTTGAGAATACCAGACAATGGACCACCTTTCAACTCTGAGAAACTTGCTATTGAAAAGGGATTTAAACACTACCAAGTCACACCAGGACGCCAAATAGCAAATGAAGAAGTTAACGTATTTAGGAAACCCATCAACAAAACAGAGCAACTAACAAAGTTAAAAAAGAAAAACACTAAAACAGCTAAACAGGATATGCATAGAAGATATCATCCAAACTTATATGAGAAGATAAATGAAAGAGACAGACAATGCAAGGAGAAAATTAAAGAGTATGCTGAAAACAGAAGCAAGAAGATGAAAAAAATGGCCCCCCCGCAAGACATGCGCGGGAGGGGGCAGAGGACATACACAAAGGTAATGGGCCCCCGCAAGACAGGCGCGGGAGGGGGCGGAGGACAAAAGTAATGGGCCCCCGCAAGACATGCGCGGGTGGGGGCGGATAAAGAGACCTTGGAAAACCAGAGATACACATGACACAGAAATCAGAATAACCAACCAGAAGAACCACCTGACAGACCAAAAAGAGACAGACGCGCACCTCAACATTTAAAAGATTATGATATGTGATTGCGGGTGCCATTGGACAGCATGTGAACTTTATTAAAACATTAATTCATAAGTGAACATAACACTTTTATTACAAAAACATAAGTGAACATTTCAGAGACTGTGATAATTTAACTCATATATACAAACTTTATTTTACACATTATTAATTTACAATTATATAGTTATTTTCTAATTCAAAGTTAAGGAGGAATGTAATATCTTCGAATATTCCGGGAACGTTACGCACAAAACTGCGGGACATTAACTTATTACGTTACGTCGCTACGGCGATACCCTATATTTCGTAGTCATTATTAAAATACCATCTGAATAATCAAGTCTTGCTTTGATCTTTCATAGTCGAACTACTATATCACTAGCCAGTCATCACTGAGGTTGTGAGTTCGAATCCCGCACGTGCCAGGTGCGCTCAACTCCAATCTTAATTGACTAGGTTTTCCTACCGAAGATCGATGATTCTCTCCGGGCACTCCGGCTCCTCCACCAATAAAAACTGACTACCACGAAATAGCACAATAGTGTTGAAAGTGGTGTTAGACACCAATCAATCAATCATATTAATTTGTTTATGTATTAGTTTACAATTAAACAATATCATTGTTAATTTTATGAAAATGATCATTTTTCATGTTAACTCATAGTGATGTTTTCATGATCACACACCAATGGGGAGATTAATTCACAAGTTTATAGTTCAATTCTCTATATGAAAGTCAAGATAAATTGTAATTTATAAAATAATGGAATAAGCATCATGAACACAGCTGTTAAAATATCTTTTTACGCAAAATAATAACAGTTTTTTTAGAACTACAAATCATCAAGTTTATTATACCCTTAATCTTTTAAGTGTGGGCAATTTTTCACTCATCTTGTCCATCCGTCTGAAAAATATTTCGACCATACTTTTCATAGGTACTGCCGTACAGACTGACTTCAAATTTGGCCAGCAGCATGCCTGTGAGCACTTTTCTGATCTTTCCGACACTTATTTGCCAATATTTTGAAATTGTCTTTATGTTTAATTTATTTGAAATTTTCCATCACTTTTTATAAAACTTGTACTTCTGAACAGAATGACTTTATATTTATTCTGCAGCTTGACGAGTTGAAACATTTGAGCACTTAAAGGATTTCATCATGTTTGCAAATACTTTAAATTTTTCCATATGTTGACTGACCTAAATTTTCTTCATCATACTTTTCTAAAGTTCAACTGAACAGAATTATTTCATATTTATTGAGCAACTTGATAGATTTATAAGATATGCACTCTGTCAGTCAGATACCTACCAGTATTTCCTGTTTTCCAATACTTTGAATTACTAGTGAGTGTATACTTAGCATTACAACACATGCATTCTTATCACAAAGAAATGGTCATGATATTAAGTATTTGCCCCTAGTCTACACAAGAGGATGGAAGTAAATAAGTAGTTAACAATTCACATATTCATGTGCCTGTTCCATGTCAGGAATCTTGTCAATGACAATTTTTGACTTATTAAAATTTCGAGGTTTAACCTATTACTAGAAAGCTATTATAGAATAGTAGAAACTCTAAACAGCAAAATGATCAGCAATATACATGTAAGATATTCACAACTGCCTATTTTACTGAAACCGTGTAATGGCTCAAAATTAGGTATTGATGTTCCTAAAACACGATTTTGGAAAAAGTTATTGATTTTTTGAGTATTTTTCTCAAGAATATAATAAGAGAGAAACCTCGACCAGCTTGGATGACCTGCAATACAAACAAAAATGCTAATATGACAGTTAACATTGGACGACTCTTTATATGAGTTATTTCCCATAACTGATGAATTTGACGAA